GAGTTCAATACCGCTGTGAATAATGTCGGTGTGATATATATGAATACATATATTCGATTTTCGGCGAAGTTGAAAAGCGTTCCAAGAATTTGTTCCAACGGAAAGCAAAAGAACACTATTTAATGAAGAATGTGATTTTACACACCTTGAACCACATAAGAAGAAAGAACTTATGGAAATTTTAAGAAGGCATAAGAACCTAAGAACTGGTATTCCGAAAATCACCAATGTGTTAGAGAACACAGCATCAAACTGAAACCTGGAAGTATTCCAAAGAAGCAGAAACCGTATCGAATACCTGAAGTTCTAAAGAAATGAAGTTGATCGACAAATAGATGAGCTGTTGCAGCTAGGGCTAATTGTTGAGTCGGAGAGTGAATATGCAGCATCCGGTAGTTTGTGTATCAAAAAAAGACGGAATTGTGAGATTATGTGTGGACTATCGGATACCTGAACTCACAGACGGAAAACTGATGCCTTTCCCGATGAAAAACACTGTAGACCTAACTTTACCAAGTGTCAAAAGTCCAAATACATCACTTTGATTGATCTTCTTAAAGGGTACTGGCAGATACGACTGAAGCCCTGAGTGCCAACACTTTGACGTGCTGTTTGTGACCCACAGAGGACAATATGCCTTTGTAGTTTTACCCTTTTGGATTAAAGAATGCCGCCGCAACTTTTCAGAGGAACTATGAACAAACTTCTCGCCGAACATAAAGAGCATGCTATGCCGATTCTTATATTGATGACCTGATTATATTTTCTGATGATTGGAATACACGTCTGAAACATCTTAACAAAGTCTTAAGTACGCCAAAAAAAGGCAAATTTCACGGTTAATTTCAAATAAGTGTGACTTAGCAAAATCAAATTTTTAGCATAAAATCAAATTTTTAGGACACGTAGTTGGTTCTGGTTCACACGAACCTGACCCAGAAAAAGTTGAAGCCATACAGAATTTAGAAGTGCTCCGTACTAAGAAAGATGTAAGAAGTATTTTAGGACTATTCTCGTATTATCGGTCTTACGCACCCAATTTTTCAGCAATAACACAACCTTTAACTGCATTGACAAAAAGAAGGGCTTCGAACGAAATTACTTGACTGAAGGAACACGATGAAGCGTTTATTCAATTAAAACGTGCCATTTGCAGTGCCCCTAAATGTTACTCTCCAAATTTTAGTTTGCCTTGCATCATTTACGCAGACGCATCAGCATACGCTGTAGGAGCTTGTTTGGCTCAACAAGATGAAAATAGTGTAGAACACCACCCAATAGCCTTCGCTAGTAAAAAGTTGACCGAGACACAAAGAAATTATGATGTTAATTGAAAGGAAGCGTTTTGCCGTTTTATCTTTGCCCTGAAAGAAGTTTGAAGCTTATATCTCTAGTTCCTGAGATAGTTCATCATTAGTGATCATAACCCTCTCAGATTTCTCACCAAATGTTCCTCACACAAAGTTCTCGTTTACAACGCTGGTCTTTAGCATTACAGCGATTTCATGCAGTGATTACATACCGGAAAGGAAAAGATCATATTAATGCAGATTCGTTATCTCGATTGACTGCCTCTCACTGGGAGCATGACAGACGTTATGAACTAAACTATAAGACATTTTGACTGTTTAGTTTGAATTTTTTTTTTGAGCTAAAATGCTAATTTTTTTCCCTAACGTTATGTAATATGTTTAAAGATTTAGCCAGGGTTTGCTAAAGTATTATGTTTAATTTTAAATAATTGATTTGTATTATCTCGTTTATGAAATAATTGATTTGTATTATCGTTTATATGATAACTGCTTATATGATTACAATTATGTGAAGGATTTACGTTTAAAAAGTTAATTGAATGTTACATCCTTTTAAATGAATAGGATTACTGAATCTATGTTGAAGTAATTTTAATTTAAAATGGTAAGAATTGGTTAATTAAGTTCGAAAATTTCATGAATGTTTTTTTATTTGTTTCAAGAAATGGTTATATATGTGGATTTGACAGGCCATTAAAAGACGCGCAATCAAATCTTTTCGAGGGGAGGTGTCATGACGTGATGACACGACGCATGCGCAGTTTAACGGGCCTGCAACGCCTCTCTCTCATGAGACTTACTAGAGAAGAGTAGTTAGTAGGTAGTAGCGAAGTAACGAAGGAAACGTGCTGTATGTCAGCTTGGATGCAAACTACGCAGTTATACTTGTATGTTAATCGTTTGTACTTATTATTTTTATTTGTGTGTTAATAAAGTTTTGTGCCGTTAAAAGGGCTGTTTTATGCAATGCCCACATTACGAATACGTCTACGGTAGGAATTACATACATATCCAGAATCTACACGCCCAAGAAGAAGGATATGATAGAAGAGATGAGAAATAATTTATATAAAAATCAATCTGCGAATTAAAACGAAAAAAAAAAAAAAAAAAAAAAAAAAAAAAAAAAAAAAAAAAGAAAATTGCGTATTAATATGTCTCACTAAAACTTCTTAAATGTGAATATCATACTGATGGATTTCTGTAATTCTCTTCCAAAGGTTCTGGATATTTCTTTCTGGTTTGTATTTAGAAATATTTCAGTTATTAAAATTCAGAATCTGGACAATTTTAATGCACACATCATATGTATTATTAGTAACTATTTCTTACTCAAAATTTTCTTTTAGAAGGTTCACATAGTTACCCCGCAGAGGTACTAGTTTTGGTACTAAAACGTTTTTAATTTGAATATCATATGCATAATGTTTACTTTTTCTTAAATATTTCAACACAAGATAAATTTCTTAATAAATGATTAATTTAAATTCGACATTAAATGTAAATGCAGTAAAATTCCAAATATGCGGATTAATTAGGCCACATATTCAATATTTTCTTTAAATCAGGATAATTCGGTTTGATCGGTTTGGTGTTTTAAGTAGATTAGACCAAATACAGTACTTAATAGAAGTGATCGGACATCGTTCATTGCAGAAAACAATGTCAAAACTTTTAAGTGCATCAACCAAAATTATAGAGAGTTTCTTTTTGTGCACATGCTTTACTCAGTTTATTTTTATATACTGTAGTATTCTGGCTGAAATAGAGTTTCCTGTAAGCTAGAATACTGAAGAACAGAACTATATAACGACTACTTGCTGAGTTCTTTTATCATAAGTCCAAAGAAGAGTTAAAAATACCCTTTTATTCTAACTCAAAATGACTTAACAGTTGGGTCCTCTCGGATGCATAAGAAGTCTTCACCTGGGCTTTAACTCAATAGAAAATATATACTAATCTAATACTAAATCAAATGAATCAGCCGAAGTTGCGCAGTATCAGTTCGCGTAGTTGGCCTATTCTTTGAGGATCACCGACATATTAAGTACGGCAGTAGACTAGCAAGCTCATACTAACAGCAGCAAAGTGGACGAAATTCAGAACGCGGCTCTTCTCCTGAAGTAACCTATACTTCAGCTAAAACACTCGTTTCTACCTTATTTGCATAAATCGTAATCCTGAAAATTCATTCTGATAGGGAAACGTAGGTATGAAACTAAAAGGTAAAGGAAATGTTTGTTCCAAAATAAAAATAACTATTAGAAATATAAAGTAAAACTCTACAATACTTCATATTTTTCCACGAAATAAAATTTTGAGCTCAAAACTTATAATTGCTCTTTTGTACGGGGAAATCTAAACACTTTAAATCGTTTTAAAAATTTGAAAAAAAAAAGTCTATTGTTTTAACCTGAAATAGTTTATTGTTTGTAATCTGGATAAATTTAGAACTCGTTTAACATTAGTGATTTCAATTATTCTTTAAAAATTCAGGGTGATTTTTTAGAACTGATCTAATTCATTTGGCTGTAGTTTTATTAAAAAGATCTGATTTTAATGCGGTTTGCGGCAAAAGATTTAGGAAGGATGAGAATTTAATGGCTCGTCCCGGTTTTTGACGTGCAACACCGAAAAAAAGAAGAAATGAGGAATAACGAAACCCGCGGATTGCTATACAAAAAGGGACGGCTTGCGCCTATAAAACATTCTTAAAATTTCTGATTGCCATGTGGCATACCAAACGTGACTAGTAAAGGTTTGTAAATGTTTATAAACGCTTATAATCGCATACCCTACACTAGGCGCTGAAATTGACCAACCTCCTGGCGTAGGCATAACAGAACTCTCCTCTCCATATTGGCTGCAACACTCCGAAATGTGTCGGCAGTGATGTTTGCAGTTTCCCTAGAAATGTTGACCTTTAATTCGTACATTGTCAGTGATTTATTGCAATAGACGCCGCCCTTCAGAAAACTCCGTTAGAAGAATTCTGTGGACGATAGATCTGGTTTCCGCTGAAGCCAAAAACCTTTGGAAATAATACGGTCCCTTAAGAAACTCCTAATCAAATCCATACTTTGTTTTGAATCGTGGCATGTGGCACCATCATACTGGTAATACATATCTGTCAGGTCCACGTCATCAAGCTGCTCTACAAATTCATTAAAAATGTGCTCGAATGGAATTTCGCGGTTTTCGTTATTTCTCCTTTTTTTTGGCGTTGCATATCAAAACACGGGACAGACCACTAAATTCTCATCCTTCCTCAGTCTTTTGCCACAAATCGCATCAAAATCAGAAACTTTTTAACAAAACTACAGTCCAATGAAATAGATCAGTTCTAAAAGAAGCCCCTGTGTTTTGTTTTCAAATTTTATATTCCAGTTCTTGCTATTTAAATATGGCAGAGTTTCAGATAATTGTATTTCATATTATAAAATTTCTACTTCATTTTTATTGTAACTTTTTAAAAAATATCATTTTTATGTTGCAGATATTTAATTAAAACTTCCTTTAATTTAACTAAACTTTACTAAACTAATTACTTTAACTAAATTTTCTTTAACTGAGTACTACAACCAACTACTTTAACTAAATTTCCTTTAGTTAAATTTTACTAGATCTGAAAATAGGAAACGTTCGTGCATTTCTCGTTAATCGGGATTAATATCCAAATATACTTACCAACCTAAATGATCTTAATACTGACAATCCTTGAACGCCTTCCAAACATAATTCTATCAAAGATAAAGCTACTATAAAGAAATCAAATATATTCCAGCCATCTTGAAAATAAAATTTTGGACTCATTGCTATTAATTTCAAGCCTGCTTCTATTGCAAATGTTGCTGTGAAGAACTGTAAAGAAAAAAAAATGAATGATTAATCATAATACTATATCAAAAATGGAATGAAAATTTGGTACATACTTGAATGACTTTCAAGACCTCAGATTATTAAGAGAAGTTACTTAAATCCTAATTTAAATATAGTGTATTGACAAATATGTTTAAATTCTGATATAAGACACTTTTTTGTGCTTTGGAAGCTTTAATGTTGCCTAACTAATTATAAATTAACAGATTTTAGATAAGCTAGATTGTTGTTTTTTTATTACAAAATCAATAAAACACATAAGTGATAAGAAGCAATGCTGATAAGAAGAATAGTGATAAGTAGCAAGTGCTGCAATTTTGATGATCCATTTTTCGTAAAACAGTCTGTTATTAAATTTTTAACTCGTGTCTTTCTAGTGGTGGCTGTATTTATTACGTATCTTTCCTCAATGCTTCTAAGTTATTGCATGATTTTTTTAAAATTTATTAAGTCATGAAGGCCAGTACTTAAGTTTTTAAAATTTAGAAGCAATAGAAAGAAAGCCGCCCAAATGGTATAGTGGCTAGGGAAGCCTACTTGCAGTACCGAAAGGCTCGGGTTCGAATCCCGAAGAAGGCATTGATGTTTGTAAATGTATAGTGTCTCTGAGTGATGGGGCATTCTAAATATATGGTGAGCCGAAAGTTTTCTCGCGTTGATTGGTGATAGGGAAGAGGGGTGGGGGACCCTCAGACCACAACCCCGGGATGCTCTCCCTCAAACTTGGGGTGGCAATAGAAGTCCAATCTCCTTGAGGCTCTGGCAACCATTCTTCCATAAAATTAATGACAAGGCAACAACAACTAAAAAACGCAATTTTTAGAGCATGTAATTTTTTATTAAACGGGCCTCCTCGTGAACTTTGGTGTTTAAGAATGGTAAATTCTACAAAATTCTATTTATGATATGCTTTTGAAACAAAGAGGGTGGATAATCGTGGAATTAAGGTATTTTAAAGTTATGATTTATTTTATTCGACGAGATTTCATAAACAAAAATGTGTTAATCGAAATGAGAGCAGCTTTCAAGGAAACAATTCACGGTTGATGCAAAGTATTCCAAGTTGGAGGCAGAAATCAGAGCAATAATGTCGTGAAGATCGACTATAAACAGTTGTGATATCCAAAATACTGAAGCTCATGATCACTTTACGTTGCAGTATCACATATGAAATCTGGGATTTCTGAGCCCAAATAGCTTCAGTTTTCTTTGCAAGATCTTTTAAATCATAATAATTGTGCGCCGGATTTCACAAACATAAGCTCAGAAGAATAAGGCTGGAGTCAATTTGAGCACTGATATCATAAAAGAACCAGCTCCGGTGTCTCAGAAGTTTCCTAAGACATAACGAAACATTTATTTCTGTGAGTACAAAACAAAACAGCAATCTATGTTTGTGTTTCAAAAAAGAACCAAGTCTTTAAAAAGTTGTTAATTCTCGTAGTACTTCAAAGGAAATTTTTATTACCTTTTTGTTAAACCCAGTCATACCAGAATCATTGCTTTCCGTAAGCGTAGAGCAGTAGATGTTTATTCATATACGGTAATTTCAGTTTCAGAAATAAATGCTTGACTCCGAAAAAAAAGAAGCCCTACTTTGCATAATTCTGAATCATGAGAAAACGACATTTCTTTCATTCGCCTGCTTTAGAACTCAATGAAATTTTGTTCTCAAAAATCAAAATGCAATGTCACATAGTTATTACTCTATGGAGAGCACTTGAAGCGTATAAATCACATGTTTCTGCTATACAAACTTCTGAAATGGTATAATTTTATATAAAAATTGATTTATTCAAATATAAAAATGTCACTGTTCTTAAAAGCAAGTATTCTGAAAAAACAATAAAACAGTTCATTTTCATGTAAAATTGTTTTGCGCTTGGATCTACAAAATTAAGTACTGGCCTCGTTATAATTTACATTAAATTCTTTATAAACTGTTTTGCAGTATAAACTGTAGTGTGCATTAACATTCTATATATATTCTCCAAAACACTGTATTTCAACATATATAGATTATGATTATTACCATATTACAGTCATACTTTCTAGAATAATTTAATTAATGGAGAGGTAACTAAGTTAAAAATCTAAAATTAACTCCATTTGCATTTGATTTAGCTTAACCATAATAATAATAAATAATTTCGTTTAATTTCGGTTTAAAAATTTATATTAATATTATAACAGTATTTTTTATAAATATTATTTGATTTATTTTAAGGAATTATGATTAGGTTGTAATTTTCTGGAATTGCTTTGATTAATAATTTTTTGAACTGCATTTAAAGTGTTACATTAGGTGACATTATAATAATAAATCTGTTCTAATATAACGATATTTTTCAACTCGGTATGTCTTGGAATAAGTTTTAATTACTTAGTTTATGATTTCCAAACTATTATTATAACTAAGCTTATTTCTGTTTTTTCAAACATGTATTTTACTTCTGTAGACTATTTGAGAGAATAATTATGAATAAAACCTTTTATAATCATTGAACATGTCTTTAGAAACAAAATACATATCGGAAAATAACATATGTGGTTCCTAGTTCCTAAAATATTTACACAAATAATAATATTCAAATATTATTTCTCTATTCGTTTTAATGTTGCAGTAAATTTGATTTCAGTAAATCTTGTAAATAACAAAATGTATTATTAAGTTATCATGCGAACCTGCAAGCATTTGAACGCATAGAACTGCGTCCGGCACACACGATAGTCGATAGTATCATAAAAATGATGCAAATGATGAAATATTTAATTAAGGCAAAAGGGAATATCAGAACGGTAAAACTTTTGTCTAGAAAAAGTGCAGTAACTGTATGTAACTAGATGAGATATTTTTGATGAGTAATGAAGATTTTAAGGGAATCTAATTCATAAATTGAAGATATTTTTTAAATACTTTTACGGAAGAAATATTAAATATATTATGAAGTGACAAATTATAATGGCAGTGGAAGGGTTCTCGAAAAGAACAATGAAGAAAAATTGTTGCAGATATCGATATTGCAATTTTTATAGAATAAAAACTTAATTACAAAAACAGGCATTTTTAGAAATTATTTCTAATAAATGTGTTTAAATTTCATAATCGCTCATTATGTATTGAAAATAGAGAATATATATATGTAAGATAAAATTTATCTAAATCAGTTTTATAATTTAATTTAAGAATAGCCTCTTAATTCATCGTTTTTAATTTGGGTATTTCCTCTTTATTATAAAATTAAAAAAAAATAACAATTCTGGACTGCGGTATTTCTAGACCCATCTAATGTCGCATGGCTTGCGTAACGCTAATGACCCAGCTGATTTGGAACTTAAATTCAGAATTTTGAGAACTGAAGCCTTTCTAACCTAAGCCCAAACCTTCTGTTGGAGAGCCTGCATATTTGATAAGTGTGCACTTAGCTTCAACCTTTGTTGTCGCTCGTTGTGCTCTCTTTATGTCGTAGCAGTCAGCATCAATAATGTCAATGTTCTGGAAATAGGCACAATTAGATTACAAGTGAATTGTGGCCAGAAATGCCAGTTTAAATAATATATAATAATGCACCGCGACTGCATTAAATTATATATTAATTATTAATTATATATATATATATATATATATATATATATATACAGAGAGAGATTTAAGAACATCCAACAGAATTAGAGGCCCGGTTTCATAAATAATTCTCTTGTCTTCTTGAAATATGTCAAAACAGTTGTTATGAATTTAATAGAATGATAGTATGCTTTGTTTATGATTTAATTTGCCTTTTATTTCAAAATTAATTTTCTAATTTTGCTTGTCTTTTGTTTCCTTCATGTTAGATAGCTTTACACTGCTGAGTTGAGTACAATTCATATTTTTTTTTACAAATTTGTTAGTTAATAATACATAGGTAACTCACTAAAAGAGTAAGTTTTTGCTAAGGGTCTATTTGATCGCGAGTGATAAACACATAGTTAAAAAAAAACTTAAAACTTATGTACTAGGAACCACATTTTATACTGCATCACAAAAAACATTTGAATATTTAAAACTGTAACATTCCATATATTCAATTCAGAATACCTTACCTTTTGCTTTCCCTTGAACACATTTTGTAGTGCTATACAAAGATTGAAAGACTGAAACATGACTACTTTCCAATCTCCAGGAATTATTTGGGCTTGAAGATTAGGATGATATTTTTTCTTATGGTGGTCATTTTGTTCTTTGTTACCGGAATATTGTCCATTAATATTTAAATTTTATGTAATCAACAAAAGCTTGACAATTTTATTTAGTAATTTTATTTAAAAAACAAGGCTTTTTCATTATAAAGTTAGAATTATTCGAATAAAATTCTATTTAATGTAAAACAATAAAATTCCTCGGTAAATTTTAAATATTAAAGTATCACAACATTAGCTTCATCCTAGTACGTTATTCAAATATGCCAATTATAATTTCATTTATATAGTTTGTGTTGAAAAACTGGCAGAATATTACTCGTCATTGCTGATTAAAGATAATTTTTTGTGAAATGTTTGCAAAAGTTTTATATTAATGAAGTTAACATTGGATTTCTTATCTATTTTAAAACTTTTTACATGGAAAAAGTCAAATTCATAGATAAGAATTTTATTAATTCTTTCCGGATTTATGTTCTAGAAATATTTTTATTAAACTATTAGATAAAATTTATCTTAGCTTACGCTAACGCAAATATTTTAAGATTGAAAATAAGTAAATTTGTATGCAATAGAGTAATTATAATGGAACAAATATTAGTACCGTGATTTAAAAATAAACAATTAGTTTTAGGCAACATTAGAAAGTTATACGTAACAGCTAGTGCATTTTAAATTTAAAGTACTTTAATAAAAAAATGTGAAAAACACGGTGGAAAACTCATGCAATATCTCCAAAAGTACATATAATTATCTCATGGTACTTTCGAAATAAATGCTTTATAGATTGCCATGAATTATAA